AAATTTTTAGTTTAGTACAAATCTTAATTATAGTAAAATATGTGTAATCTCCTAACACATAGAAATAAGAAGAAAATTCTTTTAATACAATTTTTTTTTTGTAAATTGAACTTCTTAATGTACAAATATCTGACATCGCTTTCTGGCATTCGAAAATTATTTTTTGAACTCTTGGCATCGGTGCAAAACTTGATTTGCTCTAGCATATTCTGTTCACTCTTCTAAAGCCAAATTTACAAGTTCTCTTCTGGAGAAAACAATGTAGTTATTCAACTATGCCAGATCAATTCTTTTTTCAGTGGAACATTACTCTTACGGAGCATATCTACTCTACAAGAATATTTCTTTGTTCAGTTTTTTCATGCTACCAAAGTATTCTTACTCTATTAGAGTATATATGTAATCTTGTTGAGTTATCCGTAATTGATAATATACAGAAAATTTTATCCAACTTTATGAAAGAATTCAATTACATGTTCCCAATATTTAGGGAAAATTCAAGTTATTATATTTTGCCATAGCAAACTCTGCTCTTATGGAGCATTTGTCCTGGAGAAATTAATATAGATGCTCCATAGGAGTATCTACTTAATTTTGTTATAACAAAATGGTGATAACATTTTTTTGAAATTCATATAATCACTAGAAACGTTAAAGTATCTAATAAAGCATATAATAAAGAAACTACACAATTTAAAATATAGAAACAAAATACACTTGGATGTTTTCATTATAAACTAAAGTAACTACTATCTTCTTCAGGGTGATTGTAAACAAACATCCATATTAATATCGTTAATGTCATAATTAACATTAGCATAATCTTTCTCATTCTCGATAGAGAGTAGCAATATGGTCTTGATGCGGAGTAGGTTTGAGATCAATGATCTTTCGTCTCAACGATAGTACTTTCTATCTTTAACCTTGTTGCTTTCGTCAACTTCCCAACTTCTGGTAGAATACCTGATTAAAACTTCTCACTTCTAATGATTTGTAGCATTTTTGGTAACAATAATTCCCAATTATATTTATGACTTCAATTTGTCCACTGTTAAATTCCATAATTATGGTATTTCCTTCAAGAAATGTAGTAATCCAACTCAGATGAGTTTAATGACATTTTATATGTTACTACCATATTATTATAATAGATTAATTGTCTATAATTTAACCCATAAAATTAAGTAATTGGAACTGAAAGAGCAAATATGCCAAAGAATTGAATCTGAATTTGGTGTGCATTTATGGAGATATGCCGTTGAACAGTTTAAAATGAACCTTCAAGAAAATCATAGGGCTGTAGAAGTTTCTCTTCAAGCAAAATTGATGAGCTTGAAAAGTGACTTGAAGAAGGCTCGTAGGACACTGGCTAAAGCAAATGAAGAATTGGATGAAGTAATTGGACCACTTTTATAGTTGTTGAGAATTAGATATCCAAGTACTAAAACTATGGAGCATTGACTTATCACATGTGCATTCTTGTGATGGTTTATTTTCTATGTCCCACCAATAGGAGCCATTTCAGTTGGCTAAAGAATCATGCTGATAACGTGTTAAAAAAATAAAATCAAAGAATAAAAATATAGAACTGTAGAGAAAGAATAAGTAGGGAGAGGACAAGGTGTGTGTGTGTGAGAGAGAGAGAGAGAGAGAGAGAGAGAGAGAGAGATAGAAAATAGGTTTGTATCTTGATTCAAAGGGATTGATCTCACTTTGTAGACAAAGTAGATACAATGATAAAAGTAATTGAATAGATACCATGATAAGATAAAACTAAATAGTATCTCTCTATTTATTTGACTCATTGTATAACTCAGGTATTTGCAGACATCAACACTAGATATTTATAACAAAGAAAACGATTTTCAAAAATTTATCTAAATTGAAACCAGATGTTAAATATGAGCGTTCCAATGGACCTAAAAATTCACGTTTTTTTTAAATATCTACATATAAAATGTACTTGGGCGAACACATGATTTCAAAGTAGGAAAGGAACTATTCTACCACTAGGCCAATACTATTTTTTTTTCATCCACATATATAAAACGTGTGCACATATAGAACATGATTTAAATCTCAAAAATTATTTCGTATTTTTACTATGATAAAAAAATTGAAAATATTCTACATTACCATATCTGACATGCAAAATAATATAACAAAATAATTAAAAAATGACAACGACCATCTATATTTTCTTAAAGAACATGTAAAATAACTTAAAAAGTGTAGTTAGGAATTTCTTTTTCAAAAAATTTGAAGAATTGAGAAAATGTCTAAGTGGGTTATTTGTTCTTTATTCTTCACCAAATGTAGATACAATGGTGATATCATAATTGAATTTTTAATCTATGAAACACGCATACATTAGATTGACATACCAAAAAATTCAGTCCATATCCCCTAAATAAATTTTATAAGGAATATGGTATACATACTCTGCTTGGTTTAGCAACTTCGTCGATATCTAGTATGAATATATCTAGTATGTTTTTGTTGCAAATATAGTCTAAGTCATCATTAGAACAAAGCTAGAAAAATATATCCATTTGAAATAGACATAATCCTTCTGGTCATTTATATGATTCGATTTCAGCTAATATCAAGTGATATGGAAGACAGACAACTTTGTTTTTTATTATGTGGTGATTTCTCGTGTTTTTTTTAGCTTCACAAATTCATCAATAGAAATAAGGGATATTATATTGGTAAAAATAACACAAACAATAGATAATAGAAATTGAACCTGCAACCTCGCGGTAAAACTTAAAAACTCAAACCAGTAGAATCGACTATGCATTTTGTGTGTGTATATGGAAGTTATGTTTGTTCTATCTCAATTGCGGTTTAAGTTAAATACAACAATTGTTAAGCCATTCAAAGCTCATTATGTTTTTGCATTGGGTATCGTAATGTTTTTAGCAGCGATCACTGGGTTCTTAAAGTTATGGAAAGCCATGGCCTCTTGTTAACGACTTTAGGTTATGGGCTTTGGCCTTCAATGGCTTTTATGTCTGAGAATGTTCATACATTCATCTTACAATATTCTGTTAGCATTATGTGAAAAGTGTATTTAGACAGTAGTTAGTATTGTACATACCTTTTGGAGTCTTATAAACCTGGGAACAAATAGGATATCATTGTATGAGATGGTGAAAGCAATTGTTGGTTCTTTTATTCATTTGGGGTATCATCTTAGGGAAAACAATTTTTATATTGGTCAACGGTACTTGGTGTCAAATTTAACAATGTAAAGTTGGATAAACTTATCATATCCTATACTAAGAATTTGGGAACAAATAATAATGAAAATAAAATATTGACAATCTTCTGGAATATATATATAAGACTGAGGTCATCAAAGTGACTAGGCGTTGTCACACTATTCAAATATAAAATTACCTACTTAATACAATTACTAGCAGTAAAGTAGCAAGTAGGGTCGATCCCACAAGGAAGGTTACCAAGTACCGGTTCAAACTATTTCTTATTATTATTTAGATTAACAATTTATCAATTTTAAACTAACCTACATCTAAAACTAACAATTGCAATAAATTTGAAATATAAACTAGTAAAAGAAAACCTAGGGCAAAGGGTTTACCTACCGACTACTCAGCTTAATTCAATCTATAGATATGTGACTTTGGACTTTCATTAATCTCACAACGATTCACAAGAATAAGAAATATTCACTGTCGTGATATAATTCTCTTACTTAAAATAACCCTATGACTACTGTCGTTACTATAGGGATAATAAAAGCACATTAAGAACTTTAGAATCTCTAGTTTGAAAGGCGGTGTTTCTACTGTTGTGGCTCACTACCTAAGTCTAATATTCCCATTAACCAGTGCTAACCTTCAACCGTCGTTCCTTCAATTAAATAGCTTTAAAGCATGTAAGTGGTGATCAAATACTCACATGGAATAAAATCAAGAATATTAAATATCAACTAATGAAAAACTCACAATCATAAATTAAATTAAATTGAATAGTACAGCGGCTACATCCAAAACTCTAGATTAAATTAGTTTAACCACTACACATTATTTTAAAATAAAAATAAAATTAAAATAATGGAACGAAGAACCCAGAGAGAAGAACACAACCGCCATCCGATGTTGCTTGGCTTCTCTTGAGCGTGCGTGCGTGCGTGCAACTTCTTCTGATGATAGGGAAATAATGTGCATCCGGTTCTGCCCCAGAAAAATAAAACAAGAGCCCCCTTTGATAATAGTACTTGGATGCTCTTGGTGTATTACTCCTCAAGAAAGGAAATTAGAGCCAACGTGGGCTTTAAATTGATAACATGAGCAACTTCTTTTATTTAATTTCAGCAAGTAAACTAGACCATTCTTTTCAGCATTTGGGCTTCAGAACCCAGCTGAAACCAGCCCACTCCATTCCATGCAAGTCCAATTCCTCTCTTTCGGCCAGAATTCAATCCATAATACCTTATTTTCAATTCAAGCCCCCAAAGTTCTCAACTCATCAGATTTCTTCCCCCTTGATTATTCTAGTCTTCATTTATGCCCTTTTGAATTGCTTCTTATCTTCAATTTAGTCCAAAACTCTAACAATTTCTCCTTTTGAGTACAATTCCTACAATTAAAAATGAAATCACATAAATAGCATATTTGTACTCAAAATATTGGCAAAATCTCGCATAAAGGGATATTAAAAATAGATATATTATGTGCACATCACAAAGTCGGTCAAGAGACCCTAAGATTCCTTCAGTTAAACTATTAACACCAAGTGATTCCTGGTCATTAAAAATGCCCCCACTATTTTTAGTAAATTCTAATGAAATGGTATTTTAGCATTGTGCGTTATTCACGGTAACAATATTTTTCCCCTCGTTCATGCATATCCTTAATTTCAGTAAATCTCTCATATGTATAAACCACATTCATTTACATTTTTTTTCATCAAATCATTTATATAATGACTTCCTACATTCTCTAAATAAAACATACTACTTTCTGTTAGATATTTTATTCATCACTTCTTTTTTTACAAAAATAAAAAGAAAGAAAGATAACCATGGTTCTTAAAAGTTCCTTGTCCTTCTTTTCCAACACGATGTTTGATTTTAATATGCATTTATCTTTTTTTAATCCCTTTTCTTGGGGAAGGGTTTTCTTTTGAATTGGTCCATCGCGACCATAGCAAATCTCCGAGTTACGAACCCTCGAAATCTCATTATGAAAGGCAACATGATGCATTTCTTCGTTCATTTTCTAGGAAAAATTTTTTCAAGGCACAAGTTACGGGTTCGATGGAAAAAACCAACAATGCAAATGGAGGATCAAAAGGACAATCGAGTCATCCATAACCAACGTGGCTGGGGAATACTTGATAGAAGTCTCTATCGGAACTCCTCCATTCACTTTCATGGCAATCGTTGACTCCGGCTCTGATCTAACATGGACTCAATTCGAGCCTTGTGCTCAAAGTTACAAGCAAGACACCCTGCTCTTTAACCCTGCAAAAAGTTCATCTTACAGAAAGTTACGTTGCAACACAACGCTATGTTCTGAGGCTCGTGAATGGAATTGCGACAAGGAACACTCTTGCACATATAAGTACTCCTACGTGGATGGTTCCTTCACTGTAGGCAATCTTGCTAATGAAACATTCACTTTTGGAACAAATTCTGGAAAGAAAACTTCTATCCCAACATTGCTTTTCGATGCGGGTACCAAAATGGAGCATCATTCAATAGAAGCGGGTCCGGACTTTTTGTGCTCGGGGGTGGAAAACTCTAATGGTTAACCAATTTGGTGATGTTATCAATGGCATGTTTTCTTATTGCTTAGTTCCATTCAGACAATCCCACAATTTGACAAGTAAAATTAGTTTCGGAACATCTGTTGTTGTATCGGGCGAGAATACTTAGTCAACCCCGTTGTACAGGGGACCCTTAGACTCTTTCTATTTCTTAAATCTTGAAGGAGTTAGTATTACTCAATGGGGAATAGAAAGTGGTGTGGGTTCTGCAAATAATGCTACTAAAAAAACAAAGATAATCAACGTGAATAAAATAAGTTCTAATGGTGATACTGCCGCTGCAGCTGGCCCTAAAAAGGGTGTTAACATCATCATCGATTCTGGTGTGAAGTTGACTTTTCTTCCTAGACAATTGGCTACAGATTTGGAGGCGACTCTGTGCGAATCTATTATTGGCACAATCTCACCAGATCCACAAGGACTTTTTAATCTATGTTATAAAACCGGGAAAGGCACGACCTTCCCAGATATTGTTGCCCACTTCACTGGCGCTTATATCATCTTACCTACGTTCAATACATTCTTGCAAGTCAGTGATGACTTAATATGCTTCACATTGCTTGGTACTGATGATCTTCCAATCTTTGGGAACTTGTCGCAAGGGGATTACCTCATTGGATATAATCTAGTGAATGGCACGGTTTATTTTAAACAAATTGGTTGCTCCAAAGTAATCTGATCGATCCATCTTGAGAAATATGATTAGTTTTGTTTTAGATGCGATCCTGGTACATCGAATTCATGTTAATTTCTTTCTTTCTTTTTTTTGTTTAAGTTTTATAGTACCCATTATTGAGTCGAACTTACAAGAGGTTTGTTTTTTTATAGTTTTTGCTTCTTCTCTTTTTTTTGGTTACAAGAGGTAACAATCTGTAATGATTGTTAATGCTTTTCTGTTTAGCTAATTAATCTGATAAATCTATATACTATTTTCACGAAAAACCTAGAGAGAAGTAGGATGGTTTTCCTATAATCTTCTGTGTCAAATTCTCTAAATTGTCATATTTATAAAGAAGGCCAAAAAAACATACATTTATAATCTATAACCGTTGAGTTACCACGTATGCTAATTTTAAAGGATCACGTTGTAATGATCTTATGTTAACAAAGAACCTTTTCCATTTTAAACCCTTCAAACTCATTCACTATTGCTAAGGCTTGAATTTTCTATATGAATTCTCTGTTATGCATCAATCTTTTATCCAAATATCCTAGATTCTATACACTAAATATCCATCTTCAAAGAAGTTTTGAACCACAGATTTGACTTTGAATCTATAACGAACTTTAGAGGTGATCTGGCTGCAAGTTTATCAATACAATCCATAAGGGTTCTCCAAGTTTACTGATTCAAATTGATAAAGATTCAAATTTGAATCAAAAGAATTTTTATTTTCAGATTGAAAAAATTACAAATTAAGATTTCGAGCAGTGCACGGCTCAAGAATTTGATGCGATCAAAGATCATACCCCAATAAAGGGCAAAAGCGATTGGAAGAATAATGTTCATGTACCTTAAGTTAGGAAGTCAGTGTTTGCAAGATCTAGCCTTCAGACACTTATAATTTATGCAAAGGTAGGAATTAATTGTTTCTCTATCTCTCATATGCCTTTTTTGTGTCAAGGGCACAAATAGCCTTTGGTAATTTGTCTTTTAATTCTTTCCCCGACCTAATTGATTTTTTTTTAATCATTTTGGTTTATGGTGATTTTGGGAGTCAAGAATACTGCATGAGGCTGATCGACTATTTAAGAAAGTTGTTCTTTTAAAAAAATTTTTGAAAGGAGATATAGTGTGGTTGTAAAGCATTACACTAGTGATGTCAACCAATGTTGCAAAGCTGACCTTTGAAAAGTCTATTTCCGCGAAAACCTAGAAGATAATGCTTGCACAGCAGGTAAAGAACATGCCTTTTTATTTTCCATTCATGTGGAAGTAGCTGATTTGCTGTAGTTTGGTATTTCAAATTATAATTACGATTCTGATCTTATTCATTAACAATTTTGTTTCTTTCTATATAAGTTTGAGGAATTGCACTTATCATTTCATTCATTTTTTTTCTTTTTGTTTTCTATTTTTACCTTTGTTTTAGTCCTCTTCTTTTGTTAATAGGTACTCGGTTTTAAATGAAAGAACCACTGACATACTAGAATTTATAGAGTACTCTGTATTAATTTAATGTCATATTTTACTGGAAAAAAACAAGTATAATTAGTTACTGTATCATGTTATTCGGATTGCTAGAGGTCTGTTGGACATCAATTTTCAATTTACCACCTAACCAGATTGGTCAAAACTAATTAATATTGTTACATTACAAAGTATATATAACTGTGGATTAAATATTACTTACATTACAAAGTATATTTAACAGCAGTTTTTGGAGATCAAAATGACGAATACTTGAATTTTCAAGACGTTTTGGAATATACTCGCTGAAGTGTTTGAATCTATAGTACTCCAGGGGATTCCGAAGTACATTTATACTCTACGTTAATTATGTGGTGTCATTTTCTTTAAATCTTTAAAGTTTGCAGTAGATTCTATAGTTTAAATGTTACTTCCAGTAATTGCTACAGAGTTGCATTTCAATGTTCTAGTAATGCAAAGTATATTTCATCATCAATATTCAATGGAGTGGTGTGAAAATAAATTCATTATGCTCAGAAATTTGCATTTGTACCACGAAGATGTACATTGGAGCAATTGTTTTTACCTTCAATACTTTTTATGGTGAAATGGCTATACCAAGTGAACCACACTAGTATACTAGGTTTGTCCCTCTCTATATTCATGCAAAGTTAATCTATTTATGTTAAATAAATGGATAAATTAATCAAGAAAGCCTGGCTTAGTTCGTTGAATATCTTATATTAATTTTCCTTTAACAATCCCGCAAAAGTATGAGAGGATTAGCCTATAAAACAAACTTGTGAAAGTATAAAGAATAATGTGAGTTGGAATGTTCGATGTTTCCATGGAGGTATAAAATGACTATGAGCCAACTGAGATCAATAAATCTTTGTTGTATATTAGAGTTGTTGAAATTTCGGTATGTTGCTATCTATAAATGAAAATGCAAAAGGTCAGACTTTTATGTATGTTGTTATCATTTTATTTCCAAAATGATTTTCGAATAAATAGGTGGCTTGATCAAGAAATTGAAAGGCCAAGTTCGTTGTGGAACAAGCTCGTCAACATTAAAATATATATATATAAAAAAGGAGCAATTGCTTGACCTTCAGTGATACTTTTTTAATATTCTTTTAACTGGAATTAATTTGTACTAGAAGTAGTGTAATTTTTGTGTTTGATATGGAAATGCCACCTATTATTTACTTGACACTATGGACCTTTAGAAATATATTTGAGAAGATACCAGTTATGATAGTGTACATATGTGATGGGTCTCGAATCCACCAAAATAAAACTTACTTAAAACTTGTAGAAAGTGATAAGAAGCAACGATCCCACAGAGATGAGAAATATCATAAAAAATTGGGTTTCAGTGCAAGTTATGCAAAGTATGAACAGAATTATGACTTGGGCAAGCGAGTTTATGACTTGACTAAGGGCCTATATGATAACACAAATTATTGCTTAAAATTATTCCTTTAAACACTTTTTGGCTTCAACATGCTTCAACATGTTTGATAATAAAAATTGAACCTCTTAATGAATTAAGTGGTGCTGAAATTGTAGTACAAAATATAAGCAATAAAAGTTAGCTTATTGCTTATTACTTAACTGCTTAATGAATTCAGCATTTCTGATTCAGTATAAGCATTCAAAATTAAGCATTAATTTTTATCAAACAAGCCCTAAGTAGATGAAGCCCACGGTCGTCCTCCTCTCTACTCCACATGCATATGCTTTTATTTTCTTGCTCTCTTTGTGGTATGAAACTGTGTTCAATCAGGCACTTAAACACTATAAGGTCCCTCCAAACAACAGTTCTAGCAACAACAAGCCCACTAACTCTTGTGGTTGACTCCAGAATACTACTAATCCATTAAGTTCCTAAGCCTTTATGATTTCCTCGTGCCAAACAACTAACTCTCGTTGTTGTTTGAAACCTTGGACTGTTACCCCCTTGCCACCAGCTAATCTTAGACATTCTAAGTTAAGTTTACCCTCTCGGGATTCACCTAACATTCAAGCACAATTAGTTAAGTGGTCAATTCAACTAAGAGGATAATGAAAAGACTGGGAACACAAATATCATCCGATGGCTAAACCAACACATAATTATACAAAGTAAAGGGATTAGACCCTAGAAAAGAGTTTAACTACACATACTGGAAAGTTTAAACACAAAAACTGAAGTACAAAAGCTCCATGATGGTTACAACAGAAAGGATAGAAAATAGGGAAAGAACAAAGTCAGGGAGTGTGGTAAAGTGCTGCTGACTTTGCAAAGTCAGCTCCTCACTTCCAAGAGACACCCCTGAGTCTGCTTTCCAGACTTATACTCTGATTCTAACCTAACTGAGAACTAAGTGAACTCTAACTTCTTCCTTCCTAACTTTGCCCGATGGATTAAACCATAGTGAAGAGACCCATACCTATTTTTACATTCCCCATCACCTCTAATCACCTTTTTGGGATGGTTTTAGTTGATTAATTCAGTCTTTATGCACGCCTTCCCTCGATTGACAGTAGCATCGTGACTTCCTCTATGCTCCCTTTGCCTTAGCCTTGAAGAATCGATTGAATTTTTGTCTTCTGCAGCTCCTTTTCCCACTGGATTGAACTCAACCTAGAATTTGCACCTCCAGGTCCGATCAGCCATTTTCAATTGACACCAGAACTTCACCAAGTTGCCACATTTTCCCAACTTTGTATGGATTTTTTAATTAAGTCCCTAGATCACCAATAGTCACCAAATTAAACTATAAACACAAAATGCGAATCTAATTGACCCTAAACTTAAGCACAAGAGGTAAAATATGTCTCTAAAAACATGCATAAGTTGACACTCCCCCAAACTTGAAGAATTGCTTGTCCTCAAGCTAACACAACACCTACCCCTTCATACTGACTCTAGCATTAGAATGCAACAAAGAAAAGTGATCAAAAAGTGTCTCAGAAACAAGTCTCATCAGAGACAGGCTATGTACACCAAAGTTCAAAACTACATGAGCAAGACAGAAACTCACTTCTCAGTGTGTGAGTGACAAAACATAGAACAAAGTGTTGATTATCCATTAAGGTTAGGTTCATTTTCAGCACAAGTGGACATTGATCTGCACCTATTTTCATCAAGCCTGCAACTAAGGTGTTCTAACTGGAGTCTAAGACTAAGGGCTCTCTGAACTGCTAGCACACTGGGTGCATCTTTCACCCTCATACCCTTTCCCCCACTCAGGCATATACTAAGCACATTTTTTCAGTACTTTATAGTATTCTATGCATATATATTTTTCATCTCACCAGGCCTGAAGACATTCCTCTCTTTTGGTGTCATGCCTCACCTCTCAATGATTTAAAATGCCACATTGCGCACTGTCTTTGCTCCCTCAATTAGTAAAACACTTAGACTCAGATTTAATCTCCAACTCCCCCTTTTTTCCAAGGTATTTTAGGCTATTCCAAACCACTATGGGCTCAAATCCAGGCTGCCATAATGCGTAAGGCTGTCTTAATCTGTTTCTCGGATCACAGTCTCCCTAGGTTAA